TATATATATAGTAACTCTGTTTTCACAACTTCAACCACTTAAAGGTTTTTCACACAAGAAATAAGAGCTCATAACTCAGTTTGAAAGTAGAAATGGATATCAACGGACTGCCTCTTCCACATCAACACTTTGGGTCTTTCTGCTGCAGGAGAGCAGATAAAGCAGGAAAAATCCAAGTGGAAAGGAGGGAAAAATTTATTTTGACAGAAGAGCTTTCAGCTCATTCTGACAGATAAGGAGGCAATCTTCAGCCCTGTCTGGGATAAAAATATAGCAGAAATTCATAAAGTCTCCCAGGAAGCTGAGAAAAWTTTTATCCTGATGGTGAGCTGTTTATTTTTATTTATTTATTTACTGATTGAATGATTATATTGTTTCCACTTCTGCCGAGCAGCAGCAGACAGAGACAAACTGTTATTTACCTGGATCTACAGACACTCGGGTCATTTTTCAACAAGCATTAAAGCTCAAAAACTTCTGCAGATAAAAGCTGGAAAAAAAAACCTTAAAGCTTAAATCAACTGAGTAGTTTTTGTGCTGCTTTTCAGCAAAAATGTCAAAATAAAAACACATTCTGCTTCTTCACAATATCACACAGAAAGCAAGTAAAGTGGTTTCAAAATTTCCTCCAAAACAACTGAAATAACCAATAAAAGCCCAGAGTGTTTCTTTAAACTGGACTTCATGAAAACTTATCAGATCACTAAATCAACGAGATCAACTGCWTTTCCTGTGAAAATGCAGCSTGAATATTTAATGCTGAAAGATTTTAGCCGAAAGCTGCTGAAGAACCTGTAAGGYTTTAATGGTTCAAACTCAAAAACAAACACAACAGGTTGTAGGCGCCTTCAGATTCAGGACTCCCTTGAAAAACRGATTTGCAATCTCTGCGGGACTTGACTGGATAAATAACGGTAAAKAAAATAAAAATAAAYAGCAAAACTGCTAAGTGTTGAGGTAAATTTGAACAGCTTATGATTGCTGAAAGTACAACAACAAAAGTAAGATAAAAATCAGTAGAAAAATAGCAAAAAAAAGCGTAAACAAACCTGAAAAGACTGTAAATGTAGCTAAAATGAGCAAAAAAAGTTAAGAGTAGATGAAACGAGTTAAAATTATGGTGAAATGAGAATGATAACTTTCAAATGAGCAATATACAAATAACTTGCAATTTGTTTTGAAATAGCTAAAATAGCTTAAACTAGCCTAAAAATAGAAGTAACAAGTAGCTGAAATAGCTGAAATTAGCAAAAAGAAGCAGAAACAGCACTATTGCTAAATTAAGTAGTAAGAAACTCMAATTATCACAAAAGGTGAATTTAGCTGAAAAACGCTAAAAACTGTGAAATGATTTAAAGTAGCAACAACACAGAAAATAACTGAAATTAGCAGAAAGAATGTGAGAGAAACAAAAAGAGCATAATGTAGCAGAAGAAAAACTGAGAAGGTTAGAAATAACAGCTAAAAATGCCAAAATCAACCAAATGAAGAAGATGAACTAAGCTAAAAGCAGCACAACAAAATCAGAACCTGAACAAAAGACAAAAAGTTCTGCAAAGGTTTAGGAACATTTCAAAAGGTTTTTAAGGATGMTGAAGGCAGCTCCATTCATTTTCAGAGAAAAAAATGGCAGAAAAAAGTATAAATTGCTGAACTAAAAGTCACAGCYGGAATATTCTGAAGGAGCTGAACGTTTTGATTAAATTATTGAAATAATTTAATGAGAAATTGTGCTGAAAAAGGTACAGAAGAAAAACTGATAAGAGTGTGAATGCTTTATAAGCGTCACAAAATCAAAACTGTTCAGTTAAATAAACTTGAACATCATTATGATTAAATAAAATAAATTCAGATTTAGTGCAGACCTGATGAGCCTAATATTTTACACTAAGTGATGCATCCTAATAAATTATTAAAATACATGTTTTTCTTATTTATGATTCTAATTAGACTTTTTTAGAGGAACTGACCGGACATCCTACTGTCAAAGACAAAACAAATAGAATTTATACAAATTCAACATTTCCCTGTCATACCTGTGTGAATTATTATAATAAATAAAATGATCATTTTAAACTATCATCATTAGAGGATTCAGTTGTTTAATACGGCAGCTGAAAGGTTGGCTTCAAATTTTATTATTTAACATGGTTAACTTTAAATCCAACTCTAAACTGTTTGACGACCTCAGTATGGAGTTAATTTCTCTTTTTGAAAAGTTTAAACTCTTCGCTCTGCTGTGAGACCTGTTACCCTGAAGACTGACTTCATCAACACCAAACCCACTTTTTCACAGCTGGGAAGAGAACAAAAGTGTAACGCTTCAACGTGGAACTACAGATCAACAGAAGAGGGTAATAACAGTCATCTCTGCTGGTCCTTAACCTGAGCTGTGACCTCAGATCATCACTGGAAATAATTCTCTTTGATCACTCATCTTTACATCTTCTTATAAGCTTTAACTGATTTCCACTTTTTTTTCATTTCTCATTTTCAAAACAAACTGCTTTTGGTTTTGTATCCTAACACTCTGGCATCTTTGTTTGTTTTAGATCCAGCTGATCGAGGAAAACCAGAATTTTTGTCTCTTTGCCTCCTGAATTTACAGTACATCTTATATTTCAGCTCAATGGGCCTCATGCAAGAACATGTTCGTATTCTTATCCTAAATTTCTCTTACTTTTGTTCGTACGAAGGGTTCGTAC